CCGCCATTAGACTCGTGGCTTCGCTTGAACGATACCTCCGGATTTCTACCGACGTACGTAGCTAGTAGAATGGAAAGATTCCGATGAATCATCATAGATGATTCATTATGTTTGGGAAAATAGCTTAGTTGGTTAGAGTGCTGGTCTGTCATGCCAAAAGTCGCTGGTTCAAATCCCGTTTTTCTCGGTAATTCTCTGATTAAAAAACGAATGATTCTAAAAGACGTTCATAAAGAAAGATATATCTCTCTTTATGAACTGGTAACTGAATCAGTTAAAATCTTTTTTTTTATTGAGATATAGCCGAAAAAGTATGCGATAGAATATCATTCAATTTTACAGGGCGTAGCCCTTATCCTACCCACGTCAAAAGGAATATCGAGGTGTTGAATTTTAGGAATGATGTAATAATGGTTAAGATTACATACTGAGCTAGTGCTAGAGTAAAGAGATCGGGAAAAAAAAATTATGCTATGCGGATGAATAGTGCAAGGAACTAATACAAAGACCTTGTCCAAAAGACTCTAAAATCTTAATCGGTGTTAGCGAAACCGAACGATTTTCTATATAGAATTTGATGTAGAGAATATCATACATAGGTTAAGGGAAGGAGTAGATTGGTGCCCCGAGTTGTTCGATTATATCGGAAAGCCGGCGGTAGAAAGGGCGAAGCTCTCTTATGACGAGATAGAAGGATTTACTGTGCCTTATTTGCTTCGCCCTTAATGGCTTTAATATAAAAGTTCCCATTGAGAGAAGGACATCTGATGATGAGAGTGGGATACCCTAGCGAAGCAAGTAAGCATGAGCTTGGAAGAGTGTCGAATGGACCAAAGGGCCGAAGGCTTCTTACACAACACTTCTCACGATATACATAGGACATCTTCTAGTAGCCAATGAATAAACATTCCTTTTGTGGTTTACCATGGTTAATAGGTTGCGTAAGTCGTATGTGGGCGCAAAGCGCAGCACTTGTGGTTCTAACCGGAGGAGAAGAGCATGAGAGGTCCCCCATCCTAACAAATACAACAATACTGTATCTTGGGTTCAAATCCCATTTTCTCCATAGGGGACGTAGTTCAATTGGTAGAGCGCATGTTTTGCAAGCATGAAGCTGTCAGTTCAACTCCAATCATTTCCAAATAGACAAGTAATAAATTGTAGAAAAGCAGTATAGGTGCTTGGAAGAATTACGCTTTCTACTAACCGCAGGAAATCCCGTTATGCTTTGCACTTTAGTTCGACCGTGGAGAAAAGAATCTAGAAACCAAACGGAGTAATTTGTAATAAAACGTGTTGAGGGTAAAGATGGAGGACACGTAGCGTTCTTCTAACGCTGACAAGAGAAATAGTTGGCTACTCTATGTTCGGGTAGAGAGTTGGCGCCCGACTGCATGCCGCGGGCAGCTCCCCGGATTTCCTCTTCTGGTGTCCCGCTTCGCAAAGCTACGATGTTTTGGTTTTACGGGCCTTCACGGTGCGAAGCGGCCAAGCTGAGAAACAGAAATTAAGCCAGCAACAATTACGGTATTTTTCTACCATAATACAAACAGTGGCTATATATTGGCCTGCGTAGCTCGGATGGTAGAGCATTCCCATGGTAAGGGAAAGGTCTCCGGTTCAAGTTCGATTGTAGGCTCTGTAGAGAGAAAAATGATTAGATATGGCTAAAACCAAACAAATCAAAAAATTTACTTTGAATTTTGGACCTCAACATCCTGCTGCTCATGGTGTTTTACGATTAGTATTAGAAATGAATGGAGAAGTTGTAGAACTGCGGAACCGCATATTGGATTACTTCAGTACGGCATGAAGCCCCTGACGCTGAGTCGGCATATCCTATGCCGCTAGCTATGTCCTGCTTGTTCCCCACCGTGGGTGGCGCATGGAGGCAACTCCCGCGTCATAAGCACCGGGCAAAAGGCGTTTTGTTGGGCAACTCAAGTGAGGCAAATCGCTTCGGGGAAAGGTGGGAGAAGATCGTGAAGGTGGCCTCGTTATCCACACTAGATGTCTCGACAGAGATGAATAAGGGTATGTCAATAGCACCACTATGGTTGACTTCCCATTAGGATTTCTTGGAAACGAGAACACGTCGGCGAGTCCTGGAGTGCCAATCAAGGGCGCATGCGTATGCCCATGGGGTGATTATCACGACCAGCGCCCCACCA